CTTAACCTATACTTTTAAAATACAAATTAAACAAACTCATAAAAAAATATGCTTGTTATACCATTAATTTATATTTTTTTTGAAACAAATTTGTAAAAGGTCGGATTCAAATCATTGTCTTGAAGGAGGAAAAATATATTTTTACGTTACCTAACGTCACTAAACCCAAAAATCCAAATGTTATTAATTTATATTTTTAAAACACATATTAATCAAACCGTTATTTGTTTCCCTTCCCGTAATAATAAGTCAATCAAAATTCTAAATTATACTGCATTAATTTATGAGCAGCGCTAGGGGCACTCGCCTCTTGCACTCTCCGGCCAACACTTCCCCTTTCATTGGGCCACGTAGGCTTATTCCAGGCTTTGGAGTGCAGCCTCTTTAAAAAAAAAAAAGCGGAATAACGTGGCCCAATCAAAGTGAAAGTGTGCAGGAGGGAAGTGTCCCTAGCACTCCTCTTAATTTGTAGTTATTGTAACGTTCAGAAAACAATAAACAAACAGTCGAGCATTTAGGTTTTCATTATAAAGTTATAAAAAAAAATATAAAAAATATAAAAATTGACATTAATTTTAATATTAGTGTCAAATAAATAAATTTAATTAAATAATTAATAAATTAAAAATTTATTCTTTAGTTTTCAATATAAAGTTATAAAAAAAAGTATTTACTACATTTTTAACTTATATTATTAAAATACAAGTTCAAAAAACCTTTTATGCATTTTTGCTATATTAAAAAACCAAAATCTTACTAATACAGTTACAAGGCATGCTCTCAAAAATTTAGAATTTTAAGTAAGAAAATGAATTTAAGATAATTTTTTTTACATAATTTTTATATAACTTTGTATATTATTTAACAATTATTCTTTTATTTTATTAAAACTCAAAATATTATTTATATTTATTTATTTAATAACATAAAAGAATTTTAAAAAAATTTATGTTCTTATATTATTATTTTTTTTTTTGGAAAAAGGCAAGTTTTTCATTAAACGTCAAATGACATGTACAATTTTCTCTCAGGTATACTCGGGGAATTACACCCTTCATATCTTTAATCTCAAAAAATTAACTATCTCATTATATACATCTTTTTCAACCAAAAACTTACTAAGAGTTACTCTCTTATTTCTTTCCTGCCAAATCATATATATAGTGGCAGCTACCGCAACCTTCAACTTGTTTGACTGCGCCGATCAACCTTTACATGCCTTCTTTAACCATAGCCATTCAACACTACACCTTTTTGGTTGTCTGTGAATATTCAAAAAGTCCAAGACTAACCTCCACACTTCTTTAGCAAAACTACAACAAAAAAACAGGTGCTCACAAGTTTTGTCATATCTACAACACAAGTAGCACCCTTTCTCAATTCTCATATCTCTACTTGTTAGCAAAGCTCTAGTCTTTAGTTTACCCCCCAATACCAACCTATGTCGCGGGAAAATGCACCCTGCCCAGACAATATGATGCCATTCTACCTTAAGGCATTTTCACTCTTAGGAACTCATAGCAACTCGAAATAGTAAACAAACCATTCTTTGCAGGTTTCCATACAGCCTTGTCCACTTGTTGAGATAGTTTTTGACATCTAATAATCTGGACAAGCATGGGATGTCTTCTCACAAAATTATCTAGAATGATCCAATCTAAACCATCCCACCACTGACTAACTGTAAGGTTATGGCCCCAAACAACAATCTCATCCTTTAAGATCAACTCACAAAACCTTATATTATTCTTTTAAGTATAAATAAAATATGAGTTTATCTAATTTATACCTTAAGAAAACAAATTAAGGGTAAAATAAATATGTTTTTTTTATAATTAATTCACATAAAAAATTATAAAAATTAATATATCTTAACACCATTAATGTATGAATAATTTTAATTAATTAATTAATTAAATTAAAATTAAAATTTATGTTTTTAATAAAAATTAATTAAAAATATATTGATTATATCTTTATTTAAACATAAGACAAAAAACCTACAACATATCCATCCCTTCATGTTAGGTGGCCATATATATCAGATGTACATGGACTGATAGACGCATCACCGACGACACTGTCGGTAACAATAAAACAATAATCCACAAAAGACAAAACCCCGCCACCACCACTCTCTAATCTAATCTCTTGTTGCCTTCACTGTTCACAGTGACGTTGAAAGAAGCTAATAATTGCTCACCCTGCACCCTTCTCTGTGTATGTGTTGGCTCTGGCTCGGTGGCTCCTTTCACCTTCCCATAAGCTAATAAAAAATTCAAAATCCTAAACTATACTGCATTTATTTAGTTATTATTGTTGAAAATATTCAAGGCCGATGAACTATATTAAAGGGTAACTGAGAGATATATCTCTTTTTCGTTATGTAAATTTAAGGTCTCGTATTTTTATTTGAAAGGAAATTATTGTCAAATAAAATTATATTTTCGTCAAGTAAATATCTCTGAGTCGGAGTTCTTTAGAATTCATGCAATCATTCATTCCTAGAAAATACTAACCGAATGGTAGTGTTTGGTTACGTGAGGGAAATGAATTACTCATATAAATTTATATAGGACATGTCGTTTGTATTAATTAATGGACTCTCTTTATCGTAGCTCCATCTCCACACGGAAGTTGAACTCCATCTTTTTCCTCTTGTCTATTTAATGCCATGTTTCTAGAGCTGAAATTGGACTTTCCCTCTTGTTGGACGAAAAAGAACAAAACAGAAATATGAATAATTAAGACTCACGAGTTTGCAAGAATTTGGTTTGCAAATAGTAAGCAGAAAGGACTTGGATTTGGTTCATGAGAACGTGTTGGACCACAGAAAGTTAGGAAAACCCATTTTAACAGCAAAATGCATGTGTCTGTGTTACCATTAGAAGAACTTTGCCGAACATAATAAATCTCTGCCCTCCTCCCCCACCAAATGAACCACGCATGAATGACAATACCTTTCGTGCCTAACTTGCAAAATCGAGACCATTAATTGCTTTCGGATACACAAAAAGTAAATTTTGGATGTCATTGGGTGGAAAGATATATTGATTTTTTTTTTTTGCACAGCAAAGGTAATTTATTGAAAATATTGTGGATGTACAAGTAGTACTCCACCTAATTCTTTACACAAGAGCAGAGAAGAGATAGCCTACACTGTTACTCCTATCTTTCAAACTATTCTACTCCCAAGCTTACTCTTAAGCATCCGTAAGACAAGCTATAGGATTACAGAACCAATCTGAAAGATAAAAGTGACAACCAGCTATTCTTGATTTAATCCAAAAAAAAAATCTTAATTGAATTAATTCCAACAGCTTACCCATGTTTGTTTCCTAGCCTTGAAATACCTTTCTATTCTGCAAAAGCCATATTGACCAGATCACTGCACTCCAAATGCAATCCCATCCATTTTTGAGCCGGTTATCATTGGTCCATGCATGAAGGTGGTCGAAAGATTTCCAGCAATCCGACTCCAACCTTAAAGAAATCCCCCACCATTTAGCACACTCCTTCCAGATCCACTTCGCTACTTTACATCTCAAAAACAGGTGGGCAGAGTCTTCTTCTTCCTCCTCACAAAGTCTGCATTTCCCATCATCCATAACACTGTCAATTCCTTTTTTCAACAAGTTCTTTTTGGTTGGTATTTTGTCAAGCACAACTCTCCAATTAAATGTTGCAATTTTGCTTGGAATATTGTTATTCCATATTCTTTTGAAAAATTTTTCATTTGGATTCTGCTGGGTATTTGACAGCAGTGAATATGCTGATGAAGATGAGTACTTGCCGTCCCTTTTGTGCACCCACTCCCATTTGTCTGTGATTCCTGGTAGTATTTTCATCTCCTCAATCATTTTTGATAACTCAAAAGCCGACTCTTCTTCCCATTCCATCAGTCTTCTTTTCCACTTTAGGTTCCATTCCCATGTTCCATTAAGCTCCTTCCCCATTTGGTAGCATTTCTTCTCCTTATCTGTTGACAACAAATATAATCTAGGGAACATATTAGCAAGGCAGTGCCCCCCACACCACTCATCCCACTAGAAGCTCACCTCTTTACCTTCCCCCAACTTTAATCTAAACCCCTCTGCTAACCACCCAGCATTTTCCCTATCAACATTGTTAATCCTTTGGACGTCTCTCCACCATAAAGAGCCCCCCTCATTTCCATTTCTCACCCAGGTTTGCCAATGCCCCCCTCCCCCTCCATATTTTCCTCTAATGACCCTTTTCCACAACCCTTCTTCTTCTATTGCTAATCTACCCCACCATTTCCCCATTAGCGCTATATTAAACTTCTTCAAATCTTTCACACCTAGCCCCCCATGTTCCTTATCTTTGCAAATTCTATCCCACTTTACCCAATTAGTTTTTGTCTCCACTCCCTCTCCCCCCCATAAAAAATTCCTACGAATTTTATCAATTGAATTAAGCGTACCTTTTGGGATCAAGTAGACGGACATCAAGAACATAGGGAGGCTGGACAACATTGAGTTAATAAGTGTAATTCGACCACCTTAAGAGAGATATCTCCCTTTCCAGCTCGACAGTTTCTTCATGACAGAGTCTAGCAATGGCTGCCACATTTTAAGCCTACTATGGTTCCCCCCAATGGGAATCCCCAGGTATTTGATCGGGAATTCCCCTTCTTTACAGCCTAATTTATAGGCCATTTTGTTTCTCCAGTCATCCTCCACCCCGATGCCCATAGGCTGACATTTTCCGAAGTTTATTTTCAGCCCCGCCGCCATTTCAAAAGTCCTCAAAATACACTTAACTGTCCTAATATTTTGCTCAGATGCCTCCCCAAGGAATATGGTGTCATCCGCAAATTGCAAGTGGGTAACTGTTACTGCATCATTTCCGACTTCCACACCCTTATACAGCTTCTTATCAACAACTGCTGTCATTAATCCATTTAGACCCTCTGCCACTATCAGGAATAAAAAGGGGGATAAGGGGTCGCCTTGTCGAATGCCTTTTGTGACTGGAAATTGCCGAGTTGGGCTTCCATTGATTAGGATTGACACCATGCTCAATTGCAAGCACTCCTGGATCCACCTCCTCCAAGTGCCACTAAAGGCCATTCTGTCCAGCATATAGTCTATAAACTTCCAGCACACCTTTTCGTATGCTTTCTCAAAATCCACTTTGAACACAAAGCTTTTCTTCCTCTTCCTTTTCGCTTCATCAATTACTTCGTTTGCAATGACTACTCCATCCACCAATTGTCTGCCCTTAATAAATGCCATTTGTTGTTCCCTAATAATCTTATGCATCACTTTGCGTAGGCGGCTTGCCAGTAATTTTGCCACCACCTTGTACATGACACCAATGAGGGATATGGGTCTATATTCTTCTATTCTTTGGGGATTCTTGGTTTTTGGGATCAACACAATAAAGGAGGCATTAGACCCTCTTTCTAATCTGCCCTGCTCCTAGAATTCCTTTATGAATCCAATCACCTCCGTTTTAATTTCATCCCACATAGATTTCATGAATCAAAAGTTGAAGCCATCCGAGCCTGGGACTTTAGAAGAATCACACTCCCAAATGACTTTTCTAATTTCCTCTTCTGTGAAAGGTGTTATGAGGAACTCGTTATCAGCTTGAGATATCTACTTAAAGCCCATTCCATCAAGTTTAGGTCGCTGCCAAACATCTTCTATGAATAGTTTCTGGAAATATTCAGCCACCCCTTCCTTTATTTCTGACACTCCAGTGAGTTGCTTCCCTTCAATCATAATGCTACAAATTTCATTTCTTCTTCTTCTTCCATTTACACTTCTATGGAAGAACTTGGCGTTTGCATCCCTTTCTTTGAGCCACATTTTCCTTGATTTCTGTTGCCACATATTCTCCTTGATTTTTAAATTGTTCCATATATCAATAAAGCACCCTCTCCTTCTTTCAATATCGATGTGAGTCAACAGACTATTCTCTCCTTTCTTATCTATCTCCTCAATCTCTTTTTCAGCCTCCATGATTTTCTTGTCCACATTTGTCATTGAGCTTCCATTCCATATCTTGAGAGCATTCTTGGTGAATTTCAGCCTTTCCTTAAATCTGAGTCCATACCCGCCCTTCACTTCACAGGATTTCCATGCATTTCTGATAATCTCTATGCACCTTGGTTGATCCATCCAAGCATTAAAGAATTTGAACGGTTTTGGCCCCCAATCAACCTTTTCGCTCTTTAGTAAAATAGGACAGTGATCTGATACTGTTCTTTTTAGTCCCCACTGTTTAACATCTTTCCAATTCAGTATCCATTCATTTGAAAGCAAGAATCTATCCAGTCTACTCATTTGCTGCCCATTTGAGTTATACCATGTAAACTTCCTTCCAACCAATGGTAAATCTATCAGTTCAGCAGTATGAATGAAACAATTGAATTCCCTCATTTCTCTAGATGTTTCTTTACACCCATGTCGTTCCCCTGCTGTTCTAATGGCGTTAAAATCCCCTCATAAGCACCATCTTCCTCTCCTATTACAGATCAAGCACTGCAGCTCCTCCCAAAGACCTCTTTTGCCAACTAAAGTACATGGGGCATATATATTTACAATATATACTGGCGCCTCTTCCTCCCCCCAAACCCCATATACTCCAATAAAATTATTGCCCTCCAGAATCTCACGTTTTTTAAACACCTTTGAGTTCCATACACAAAGCAATCCTCCTTACATACTATTTGATGGAAAGATATATTGATAGTTTCGTTATTTGTTGTTCCAAAAAAAAAAAAAAA